GGTCTCCCGGGAGCCCCAGCCATACGGGAAGCACCCTTAGAAAATGAATCCATGGGATTTTTGATCTAATTTATAGCATGTGAACCATAGTCAGGTAACCCAATCAACCAGCCCCGCTGCCAGGAGGCTGAGTGGCTGTCTAGCTTCGGTCTTTACCGTAATGGGGTAACTCTTTAATGGGGTTTTGCTTTGTTTTCCACTTATTCCAGTTTCTGTGTGCACAGACATACAGAAAACACTGCAGGACACACTGGTTCATATGCGTCGGCCCGTATGTGCGCTGGCGCATGTATTTATTATCAGGAATATATTACACTTATCTGTACATCATAACTGAAATAATACAAACTCTTCCTGTAATCATTAGCCACATAGTAAACGGGACCACAGAATTCCTGCTGCGTGGGAAACTGTACAGAGGCTCCTCAGCGTGTCCATGGGACACAACCACCATCAGTGCAGAGACGTAAAATACCTGATTTTGCACTTGATAGTTTTTCCCTTCCTCCCCCCTGCCTGCCACCACCACAAGTGTTTGCTGCTGTGCATCTGCTGAGATAACCCCTCTGTGCCGGCAGCCACGGGAGGTGCCGTCCCAACGGGGCCTAACGGCGCTTTCCTGCAGAAAACCAGAGCTTTCCCGCTGCTTTCCCAGCTCTCCGTGGCCCCTGCTCGCTGCCGGCTCTCCTGCCATCCCATGGCTGTTACCCGCTCCCGGTGCCGGTCTCTGGAGCCCCGTCAGAGCAACTGTAGGCTGGTTTTATTGCCGCTGCAGCCTTCTGCGTTGATTAACCAAATCAAACGTCTCCTTTTGAAAGACCTGAGGGCAATAAAACCCAGCTCAGCGCTGGCTGCGTTCCCACTCCTGCCAAAGACCACCCTTTCCTGCAAAACAGGAAAGCCCCTGCGGTGGCCACGGCGTTTGGGAAGTCTCCAGCCCCCAAAAAGCAAAAGCTTCCCCTTGCTCGTCTTCGAGCAGGGATGGTCAGGGAGCAAGGACTAGAGATGTGGCCCCCACACCGCTGGGAACGCCAAGCCCACCTTGCACAGTGGCAGCTCCCTAGCGAGAGCAGGGGTCACTGGCTTGGCCATGCGCTCGGGGGTCTCCATCCCCTTTCACACCTACTCTGGCACGCAGGGGCAAGGAGGGACAGGACAGAGGAAGAGCAGGAAAAAGGAATTACCTTTTTTGGGGAAAAAAGTCCGTGTTTCTGGGCTTGCACCAGAAGGAACCACCCTTCACACCCCTGCAGGGATGGGTTGCTGGGTCCCTTCTAGTCAGGCAAAACTTCCTGCAGCTTTGCCAGCGATGGGGCAGGCTCCAGAGACCGTGCCAAGGAAGAATCCGGTGAAAGGCAGGATTGGGAGGCAAAAATTAGATGGGAAGGGGACTGGCAATGATACTAAATGATGGTGGAGCTGAGATCAGTCCCAGTTTTCCCACCACAAAAGCCCCACTCCCAATTCACTGCTGGAAGCATCTCTTGCATATGAATTTAAACCAACGAAGTGATAAGGAAAGCACCAGAAATAGAGGGAAAGAATGAATAAATTAAAAAAGGACGGGCTCAGCCAGCCTGTCCCGGGCCAACAATATGCTCTAGTGTATTTAGTGTGGAAAAGTTTAGATTAGCATCATGGTAACAACTCTGGTTGTATCATCTCACCCATTTTTAAAAAGGGTAAAAAGGAGGACCCTAGAAACTACCAAAAAGTCAGCCTGACTAATCAGGTGGCCTTCTACGATGGTGTGACTGTGTTGGTGGATGAGGGATGAGCAACTGATGTCATCTACCTGGACTTCTGTAAGGCCTTTGACACAGTCCCACACAAGATCCTTGTTGCTAAATTGGGGAGATACGGGTTTGATGGATGGGTGTTGGATATGGAATTGGCTGGATGGCCGCATCCAAAGAGTTGCAGTCAATAGCTCAATGTCCAAATGGAGATCAGTAACAAGTGATGTCCCTCAAGGATCTGTATTGGGACCAGTACTGTTTAATATCTTCATCAATGACATAGACAGTGTGATTGAGCGCACTCTCAGCAAGTTTGCAGATGACACCAAGCTGAGTGGTGCAGTTGATTCGCTAGAGGGACGGGATGCCATCCAGAGGGACCTGGACAAGCTCGAGAAGTGGGCCCGTGTGAACCTCATGAGGTTCAACAAGGCCAAGTACAAGGTCCTGCACCTGGGTCGGGGCAACCCCCGGTATCAATACAGGCTGGGGGATGAAGGGATTGAGGGCAGCCCTGCCGAGAAGGACTTGGGGGTACTGGTGGATGAAAAGCTGGGCATGAGCCAGCAATGTGTGCTCGCAGCCCAGAAAGCCAACCGTACCCTGG